TCTGTGGTTGTATTTATAAAGTTTTTCATCTAACTAAAACTTATTTTTAATTTAATTTGATTTAAATATGAATCTTAATTATTTTTTCGTCAAGAAATTTGAACTTTAATGAATACTGCCCACCGAAGTTTTGGTTTTTTCCACTTCTTGGGCTTTTTTTCTGTTTTTGCCATATTTTAGTTCAGCTCATCAACACCTTTATGCCAGTTATGGAGCAATGTTATGGGCAAAACAGATCGATTCATCGTTGGTAACTTCGCAGGTGAATCTGGTGCTCTACGCCCACGGAGCACCGCCCCTGAAAATCCCCTTAATTTATCAGTTGGCTGATAACTCTCAGCCATTGGATTTTGCTTTGCTGCCTTTGGCTTTGCCTTTGGCTTTGCTGCTAATTAATATTCAAAAACTTCTTAACAGTTTACCGCTTTTGTTGTCGTTGGCTGGAAATTGATGCGGCTGCCAAGAGAGTTTAATTAAACAAATATTTGGAATTTGATTTGCAGGCAGCCGTAGTTGTAGTGTAGTAGCGTCGAGATGGCTGCCAACGGAATTCCAATTTCCTGTCCCCAATTGCTGAATGCATTATGCAAGCCAGTGAGCCAGTGAGCCAGTGAGCTAGTGAGCCAGTGAGTCAACTTACGAAGGCCCGTCACTCTATTTGAGGGGCCAAAATCGAATGTAAATAGAAAGGGGAGAAAGCCAATCAAAGGAATGGCCAAGGACTGCAAACTTAATTGCCAAATCAAGTCCTGGAATATATTATACCACATATATTTGCGCTTTAGGGGAGGATAAGGCCATCTTCGAACGACTGGGTGTACAGGAACAGATAATAATCTCAAGATAACTGCTTTTGTCAGCGTTTCGACATTTTATCATACCGTCGTATACCTTATCTGTCACATATCTACAAGATCTTGAGGTGTCATAAACATCTTTAAAGGTCTTCACTTGCGTTGTCGTGTGCAAACACCGCCGAATGAGTACATATATACTCAACTTTTTGACTTCAATTTGTTCTAGTGTGTTTGAATATAATATATTAAAAATTTCTTTGATTGTATTATTTACATTTTGTATTATTATTTATTATTATCGAGTTGTTATTTGCATATTTCAGAGCTTTAGCTAATTTAATTTAATTCTTAATAAAAGCGTTAATTATTAAGTTAATACATACTAAGCATTAAATGCACTTGACATTGATCTCATGTTATTGTATAAGCAAAATTTGTAGTTTTTCTTCATGATTGATGGAAATTTCCTTAAATTCCAGTATTTTTTAAGAAAGCGTTAACAAAACAACGATATTGCATGTTACATGTTATTAAAGGATTTATATAAATTACAGAAATAACGAAACATATTTGTTTTAACTTAAACACTTATATATGTAGCTTTTTAAAACAATAAACACAGGCATATTTATATGGCCACATTTCATTTTCATATAATTAAGGACCTATATGTATTATCACTTTATGTATTTTGACTTGAAATGTTTCCCAGTCAAATATTTCGCTCAGTGTAAATGAATGAATTGAGGTACGGAAGAGTGAGTGTGTTATGAGTGCACTCGCCGACGAAGAAGTTCAAGGCGATTTCCCTGCCAGTTCAAAGTAGAGAATCGTGTCTGGGGGCGATTCTTATCTTATCGTCCCAACTGCCGGAATAACCGAGCGCTATTTATATTAAAATTTTTATATTTTACAGGCCAAAGAATTGTCGCCCAACTCCCAGTGGGGGCGTATTTTCCGATTGTTTGTTTTCAGTATATGACCTCATTGATATGAGGGGATCCTTGGCCACTTGAGAAACGGGAAATCAAATCAACAAGCAGTCACTGATCTCAAGTAGATCCATATCTCTTTCTCTTTCTCTCTCTCTCTCTCTGATTCTCACAATTCTACAATTCTACGGACTCTAGCAATTCTCCTGGCCCTACTGGCTCTACTGATTCTACGCGATTCTCCCGAGTATAACTCTCACCTGGTCTTATCAGCCAGCGATAAGCCGCCTGCTTTTGCATTCTCCAACCGCTGGTGCTTCTGCCTCTGTCAGCTGTTTGCTATTTGCTATTTGCCGCTGGCGATCGACGGCGAGACAATCGACAATCCCCAACGTTGCCGTCGTCGGACCGAACAAAAATTCAAATCAGTTCCCAGCGCCGCGTCAACGGAATTCGTTGAACCGAACCAAACCAAACCGCTTCGCCGCCTTTTGTTTCACATTAAATCAAATCAAATCGAATCCTAATCAAATCGAATCGAATTGAATAGCGTACGAATAACGAGACTCAAGTCGCAAATTTCCAATTGCCAATTGGCAAAAAACGCGAGAAAATGTTCAGACTTTAAGTGAATTTCGTCGAATATCGTTTTGCTGCCCATAAATATATATATATGTGAAATGTTTCTCTCACATCCATGGAATTATTGTGGATTAATATTTGGTAGGTGCACTGTTTGAAAATCGAAATTCCACTAATCCTACTTTGCAAAGCCGCACTCTACTTCGAACCACTAAGTAATTATAAGGGCAGTCCAAGGGTCAGCTAGCAATTTGCCAAATGAAATATTTGCGTTAGCTGTTGGCTTCGGTTTTTTGGGCCGGGGAAAAAAAAAGGATTGGGACAGGCAAAGAAATCCCAATTTGCCCACAGATTTGGTTTACTTTTAGTCTTCATCCCTAAAGTCAAGGGGTTGCTAGAGCAGAGGTAAAAGAAAGTTGTGTCCTAGAATTTTTTATCTTGGACTTCAGCCCCACCCAAGTGATAAAAACTTTTCTGATACCCTATCGATGGGTACTAAAAATCTTAAAATTTATTAAAATTCGAAATGTTTAAGATAATTAAACTTAAGGCTTGCAGTTCAATTATTAAATGTTTTTAATTTAAGGTTTTAAAAACTGCTTATCTGCACCAAGTACTTTTTGAATTTAATTGCTTTTAAAGGCATAAAGAAAAACTTAAAGTTTATTGGAAAGCATGTCGAATCTTAATGTTTTAATTAAAATTTTTTGATATTTACCTATGACTTAAATTAAGGTTAAAATATGACGTATAATAAATTCTTAAATAATTAAAATAAATTGAAATTATTTTAAAGTGCAACTTTACCAATTTGTGTTTGCTCCAAGTGTTAAATAGACATACAATCAAGCATTAAAAATTTTAGACGATGCATTTAATATTGTTTATTTTCCTTCAACCTACGACTCATAATAATAAATAGTTAGCGATAAATATAGTTCCTCCTCTTTTTGCCTCAAGGTATTTATGACACTTAGCTGTCAAGACTAAATTCTTCATATTTTAAAACTTTTACAAATACAACTACCCACTCATATTTAAAAATACTTAGATAAATCTAATAAATACTCCTATTTCCTACAAGATTAATTGGATAAGGGCATTTTTAGCTTCGTTTTTCCCTCCGAGTGTTTTTTTTTTTTTTTTCATCGACTTCTATATTTAGACCGACTTTTTAGCGGCTTCTTAATGAACGACCAAAACCAAATCGGTTTGTATGGGGAATGCTTTTTATGATTAACTTAGCAACTTTGTTCCGCGTGTCCGTTTTGTGTGCGTTTCGCTCGAGTGCCGCCCACGGGTCGTATACGCGATTTGATTGGGCACCGCTGACAATTGACATCGATCGCTGCGATATGGTTTTCGATTTTGAATTCGGCTTTCGGCTGCACTTTGGCTGCTGCTTTCTTCTAGCCACCTTTCATTCGGTTCTTCACCGATAAGATTGCCCGAAATCGAAGGCCGTCAGAAATCGCAAATCAGCTGGCAAATATCAGAAGTCAGAAATCAGAAATCACAGCCGATGTCGCGTGACTTGTGCCACGGCAAATTTCGGTGATAATCAAAAAATCAGAAATATCGCAGGCAAAGGAAATTAAAAAGCATTTAAAAGAAATTTTTACAAGCGACCATAAACCAAACGTTTAAGTGGTTGCGTAGCATCCAAATTAAGCATTTAAAGACTCTTTTAATTGGTGTATATAGTATTCAATGGGTTTGTACATTGTTTTAATAGAATAGAAAATAGAACGGAAAAGCTAAGTTATCAGTGTTATTATTTTGACCATAGAAACAAACGCATGAAAAGCCTTTGACCCATTTACGAAATGGCAAATATTTAAAGCCCCTTGTCCGTGACCTTTGACTTCCATCCACCACCACGCCCAATAACAATGACAGCCGCCGTTTAATCCAGCGAGGAAACAAACCGAGACTAATCCGCTAATCCTCGCAATTTAACCCCTTTGTTATAATTAATTATATTTAACGATGATTTTCAACATTTCTTACCGGTCTGCTACTATGGTTTAATTTTTAACTGGAATACAAAGTAAAAACATTCTAAGAGTGTGCAGTAGCAAAATGCCTTTGTTTATAAACTGAAACAAATTATTTGTTCTTGAAAATCAATATATTCAAAATAAATAGGAAATATTAAGATAGAAAACAAATTTCTTAGGCCACAGCTATTTGGTCACATTTTCTTAAGAAAATATAATGGTGAACATTCAAAATTACTATAAAATCTAGTGAAGAAATCCTTAAATATGAATAGCTTTTGTAGATATTTAAAAAAAAAAAATATTTTTGTTGCCTGAAAACTATATTTTTATTTTTTAATGCTTGTGACTTGGCCGTTACGGGTTTTTAATTATAATTTTTTTAAATATTTAGTTACAGAGAGGTTATCTAACTGCAAAGTCTCACAAATAGAACTAATAATAATAATTCTTTATTACCATTATCTCAACTTTGACGTTTTTTTTTTATATTTTGGTTTTTTGTTTATCGCTGGTTTTAAAATGAAATTTAAATTTATTAACCATGTTTGCAATAGAGAAGATAATATATAGAATTTATAGACTTTAAAACTATTCAATTTTCTGGCTAATAATTCCCAATTTTTGTTCGCTTATATTATTTTAACTTTATTTATTAATGAGACTATGCTTTGATTTTGTTCTTACAGTCACGCCGTCAATCGGTGAGCTCCAGGGCGATGCCGCCAGGCGTACTGGCCAACGATAGCCGGGCCAATTCCACCGATGACATCCAGATCGCCTTGGCGCCGCACATCCAGACCTATTTGAGCCAAACTGGCCGGCGGCACTCCTGCTGCAGCGTGATGTTGCCGGTGGCCTTCGAGCGGGCTGCGGCCAAGTCCTGGCTGGACCCCAAGTTCGACTCCCCGGTCCTGGAGGAGCAGTACCAGGCCAGCGTATTTCCCCACATCCGCATGCGTTATAGGTAAGATCACCCAACAAAATACTCGATTAATGAGAATCATATGAATTTAAAAACAATAAAAAGCGCACAATAAAAAGCGCAGGAGTATATAAATAGATTTTTTGTTCTTCTCTTATTTAATAGCAAAATTAAACATTTATAATTAAAGATAAATATGTTTTTTTTTTTTTTTTTTTTTTTGGCAATTAAAGGGAAAATCCAAATAGCTTAGATAATCAAAAACACACATGAATTAAGTTATTAACTAAACTTAAAACTGTAAGCACGTATTTTTTTTACCACCATAACGTTTTGTAATTTGGCACACCACCTTTTGGCATTTGGCACCCCTGCTTAATTTTCCATTAATATTAAAATATCTTACTAGTTTCATGTGGGGATTTAAATCAGAAGAGGGTTGCAATGAAAATTCAATTAAAAGTCGTGGCTTCCACTCAACTATGCAAATCGAGCTGTCAGCCCGCACAATCAAAAGAACAAATAGGCCAGCTTCCCAAAGAGGATTTTGCACTTTTTAAGCTTTTAAAACAGCATTTTCACCCCCTTTCGTTATCACAATTTAAATAGTTTTCATTTAAATCATAATAAACATTTAATAACTACAGTTTGTGAATAATTCGGTGCGAATTACCAAACTGTTTGGCCAATTAGGCACATTGAATTTGATTAAGAAATTAGTAGGAAACAATTAATTTAGATATTCCTTAAATGTGCACAAAATTGCGCAATTAAAGCAGCTAATTGCCCAGCAATTGTGAAGGAAACAATTTGATTTATATATACGTACGTTTGTAGAAGTATTATTTGTAATGCAATTGTTACTTTCAATGAAATTAAAAAAAGAAATTTAAGTCTTCAATTTTTTTTTTATCCGTTTGCGGCAAAACTTGTTAATGCAATGTTTTTTTTTTTTTTGCAATTTTTACACTTCCAGTTAAAAATCAATTCATTTAAATGGCCTAAGTTCGCTGACACATGGCGTTGGACCTATTTAGCCCAGAGACCCCGCTGAATAGACCCTTTTCGTTAACCCTTTTGCAGGTGTATATTTCAGTTATTGCAGGGGAGTCAAACTCATGCACGTGCATGCAATCAACGAGATTGGGTGGAGAGTCGGGGGTCAGAGGTCAGGGGTCGGAGTTGCAGGGTGGATGGGTGAAAGGGTAAAAGGGAATGGGGTAAGCGAGGGCAAATTAGTTGGGGAAGTGCGCAGGATGGCGAAATTGCCGCCATAAATGCTCGGTTGGCGTGTGCCCCCCACGGTTCAAAGTGGATGTGGATGTGGATGTGGATGGAGATGTGGATGTGGATGGGGATGGGGATGCGGGCAGGGGACTCCATGCTCAAGGGGTCAGGGGTTAGGGGTCGGCGCTGCAGGTCAATGCCATTTCGGGCCATTTGGCGGCCAATTGCAGCAGTTTCGCGTGCGGCACCAGAAAAAGGCAACCAAGCAATCGATTGTTTGTTACTACATAGAACTGACAGCCTGCAAATGTTTCAGCCAAAGCCAGCCAGTTTTCAGATAGATGAAACGAACAGAATATTTATAACAAACAAAAGCAATCGATTATGTGAAATGAACTCTACTCTAAAGAAAGAAGCGAAAGTTTCCATAATCTGGTTGCTTTCAAATGTTTTGATTTAAGTTTGTATATTTATATAAATTTTGCTTTTAGATAGTTAAAACGATTGCATTTAAAATACACCGAAAATACATATTGCATAATCCTTAAAAACAAAAAAGGCAGCCCTAAAATATTAATTTTGTATGTTTTTCTTTGCTTAAAGTTTCAAGATGACAGTACTTGTACCTTAATGATGGCAATCTTATAAATTCCATAATTTTCTCAAAAATTCCTAACTTCCTAAATGTGTTTCTTTAGAGCCTTGGGAAGTACTTCTTATTCTTAGTTATATAAAATCATCGCCAAGTCCCAAAACTTTTCCATCAGGTTCTTGACAACAAGATGAGTTTTTCATTGGGAACCAAAATGAAATTTTCTAGACTTGAGATCCCTGTTCTGCTCCTGACGTTTTCCCTTGTAGAACTTTCGCCAACCATTATTAACTATAAACTGAAAACCAAAGAGGTTAGCAACCAAAGTTTCCCGAATGGCCAAGGCAAACAATGGCGACAGGGCTTGGCTCATCAACAATGGCCAAAGATTAGTGGGCAGCTCGTCATCTGGGGCCTCAGTTGCAGTGCCAGTTGGGTTCCAGTTTTGACCTCTGCTCCTCCGAGCGAAACTAAATTTGTTATGAATGTAGTGGCAGTGGCAGTGGCAGTGGCAGTGGCAGCGGAGTTAGAAGTGCAAGTGGCAGTTGCACTGGCAAAAGTTCCCATGGTGACAGGTTGGAAAGTGTAAGCCGCTTTCTCCACTTGCCGCTCCAATTCCGCGACCCTTCGCTGCAGCAAACGTTAATTAGTATAAATGGGAATGGCTTGCGGCGAAAGTTAAATGGGATCAGCAAAAATTACTCGAGGTGGGTGGATGTAATTGGAGCAAGACGTTAAAGTGGTTGACGACAACCCAACCCCAAGTCTTCTCTGGTCTATTGTCCCGCACTTAATCCTAATCTTGCCAAGCTTCTGTTCCCTGGACTTTTGATTCGTATTCGTTTAACATGCGGTAATGGAGTCTGTTGCTCAGGATTTCCCTTAATCAATAACTTTTTGGCATGCTCTTTGTTTGTGTTAAGTAAACACATTATTTTTTATGCACTAAACATTTTTATTTGGCATCCCCGATCTTCATGTAAAATCGATATTTACTACTTATTGCTTGTATTTGCTGTTGCAAATTATTTGTTCTGCTCCACGGCATAATATTTTTTTCTTTTTAAGATTTTAAGATTTGGTTTCAGTTCTGATTGTCAAACAGCACAAATACCCAATTCGTTGTATGTAAAATCAAATAAAACAGACATGATTTTACACCTCTAGTCCAACAAAATCTTATAAAAAAATTAATAAAAGGAGATAACATAAACCAATTCTTTAGAACTTTTTTTGGTGGCAAAATCAAAGGCTATTTTATAATACAGTTTTATGGTTTTATGTTTCACAACAAGAAAGAAAGCAAATTTCAGCACGCAGCTATTGCAAAAACTAGACATTCTTGAAAAAATGCGAAAATTGGACATTTTCAAAAAAAACGGCTTTCAAAAATAGTTTTTTTTTTTAAAAACAAAATAATTTTTTTTATAAGTCGATCGTGATGAATTTTATAGGTCGCCAGCTGTACAAAACAGTCACTGTTGTGGCTATGCGTCTTATTTAAGCCAAGTTACTACAAAAAGACTCTTAGGAAATGCTTTATTTTCTTATTTCGCCAAAAAACCCAAAAATACCGTTTAAAAATCAGTTTTTGAATAAAAAGCCTGGGAAATAATTGTCAGAAGTTAGAATATCATGCGTCGTTGGATTCGTCATAAAATTACCAATCAAATGGCATTCACAGCTAAAATTTTTCCAGGCTTTCAAATTTTGGCAAAAAATGATGATGTACCCCCTTATCAAAAATGCGAAAATTGGACATTTTTAAGAAAACGGCTTTAAAAAATCGTTTTTTATATCGAAATAATTTTTTTTTTCTGGATATCGATGGGGTTGGATTTTATAGTTCGCCAGCTGTACAAAACAGTCACTGTTGTGGCTATGCGTCTTGTTTTGGCCAAGTTACAACAAAAAGACTCTTTAGAAATGTTAAATTTTCTTATTTCTCGAAAAACCCAAAAACATGGTTTAAAAAATAAGTTTTTGTATTAAAAGACTGGGAAATAATTGTCAGAATCGCATCGTTGGATTCGTCATCAAATTTCCAATCAAATGGGATTCATGTTAATTACAGTGGCTTTAAAATTTAATCAAGGATTATTTGTTAGACAAAAAACAGCTTTGATATAACAAATGTTTGAGGCAAGGTTAGTGAGGTTAACCCAATGAATTTCATATTTAAAATATTTAAAATTCTTGGTGACCTGGTTTTTGTTAGGATGGTGTGCGTTATTCATAATGCCTCTTGTTCTTTGATCAAAACACACTCTCTTGTTTCCTCTGAAATATATTCGGGTTTCGACTTCGGGACTATACAATATATATTAACAAAACACAAGCTTTTAACATTCACCAAATGGTTTCCTTTAATTCTTATATGTTGCAGGTTCACCCTATCGTACATCCTGCTGTGCTCGCTGATGTGGTGCCTGTACTTCGTGGTGGACGGCGGATCAGAGGACTTCTGGCGGCCAATCTCCAGCGCCTTCTCGATGCTCTCGCTGGTGACGATCATGGCGCTGTGCTTCACGCACTGGGACCTGTACCGGGAGCACCGGACGGCGACGTCGGCGGTGACCGCCCTGCTGCTCTGCGGCGCCTCGCTGGCCTTCCTCACCTACACGGGCCGGGCCTTCAGTCCGCTGGGCCACTTTGCCATCTGTCTGGAGATCGTGCTGCTCATCTACACGGCCCTGCCGATGCCCTTGTGGCTGGGCGCCAGCACCGCCATTAGCTACTCCATTGCGTTCGAGATGGTCTCGCACATGGTCATCGGATGCAGTGCCATTCACGGCGGTGGATCGGGAATGGGATCTGGAATGGGTTCGGGATCGGGATCGGAAATGACAGCCAATGGCGATCCAAGCAACAAGATACTAATCCTACGGATAATGGCCCACCTGAGTGTGCATCTGGTGGGGCTGCATGTGCTGATCATGAATCTGGTGCGGATGCGCGGCACCTTCATGAAGGTGGGTCAAAACCTGCTGGTGCGTCGCCAATTGGAGATGGAGAAGCAGCTCAAGGAGAAGATGATCCACTCGGTGATGCCGCCCAAGGTGGCGGATATGCTGCTGAACGAGGGCGGTACCTCGGGTCTCGATTCGGGTGGAATGCCGCCCGAATCGCATTACATGCGACCGCGGGCCTCCAACGATGTGAAGTCGCTGTTCCGACCCTTTCACATGCACAGCATGGAGAATGTGAGCATCCTGTTCGCCGATATTGTGGGTTTCACGCGCATGTCCTCCACGAAGACGGCCGAGCAGCTGGTGGAGATCCTCAACGATCTCTTTGAGCGCTTCGATGACCTCTGCTCGCTGAGTGGCTGCGAGAAGATCTCCACGCTGGGCGACTGCTACTACTGTGTGTCCGGCTGTCCAGAGCCGCGGGCCGACCATGCCATCTGCTGCGTGGAAATGGGTCTGGGCATGATCGACGCCATGCGCTGCTTCGATGCCCAGCGGCACGAGGGCGTCAAGATGCGGGTGGGCGTCCACACGGGCACCGTCCTCTGCGGCATCGTGGGCACGCGGCGGGTCAAGTTCGATGTGTGGAGCAACGACGTCAGCCTGGCCAACAAGTAAGCCCTCGATAGTAACACTGGCCAACAAAATTAAATCGACGAAATTCTCTGGTGACGAAGTCCAACTCCGTCATTTAGAAAATCTCACTTGCAGGAGACTAGTTTGCTTAAAAAAAACTGCTAAAAAAACACTGCTAAAAAAACGTAGTAAATCCAAATACTGTTTATACTATTTCTCACTTTCATTTACATCCACTGCGGTTTTTTGTTGTTTTATATATTAAATATTGAAAGAGTTAAGTTTTAAAGTTTTCTATATTTGGAAACCATTTTTGTATCTGACAATTTAATACAAAACTTAAACCAAGTCATATAAGAACCATTTTAAATAATTAATTAAAATATTCTAATATTAAATTATGTAATTTTATAGGCATTGTCTTTAATATTATGATTTAACGATTTAATTAAAATATGCAATGTAAAAATATGCAACATAAAATTTTAGATTCAATAAAAAGATAATTTTTGTTTACTTAGTCAGTATTCGATTTAAAAGACAATGCCATACAATTAATTACGGGTTTTGCGATTGTATTTTTTAAGGAGCCATTTATATGGTCGGATCTTGAATTTTAGCAACTTTTTCAATCCTTATAACATGAATAGAAAACAAGGTTTTTATTCAGCTAAAATTTAATAATGGTACTATAAACAAATATTGTCCATTGGCATGTGCCATTTAATTTTGTTAGCCAGTGTAATTTGTGCAAATTAATATTTTTGACTCACCCTCTCAACCCCCCACCCCCCACTCCTTCCCTTAGAATGGAGTCCTCGGGCAAACCGGAGCAGGTGCACATCTCGCAGGAGACATCCAGCTTCTTGGGCGATGCCTACTATCTGGAGGAGGGCGAGGAGGTGTTCGGTGAGTGGGCCAAATAAAAATAAGACGAACAACCCCGAAAGGCAGTAACTGAAACGCTCCATTCAATCACCAGGTCACCGCACCTACTTCGTGGTGGGACGCCGCCGTGACTTCACCCGCACCAACAGCCTGAGTCCCAGCATGCCGACCAATGCGGCCGGCAGTGCCCTGCTGCTGCCCGGTGCCCACGGTGCCTCTGCCTCCCTCTCGCAGAGCGCCACCAATGTGTCGGCGGTGCAGCCGAATGTGCCGCCCGCCTCGCCGGTGGGCCAGCTGTCCAGCTCACTGAATCCCTCGCCGGTGCTCTCCATGCGTCCGCGCCTTACCTCGCTGAGCATGAAGCTGCGCAAGAAGTCCCAGAGTCGCGATCGTGATCGTGATCGTGATCGCGATGTGGAACGCGGCATCATCCATCCGGCGGCGGCGGGCGTGCCACCGGTGATTGTGGTGCGCGAACGGCCCAAGATCATAATCACCACTAAATCCTTGCCCGGCAGCCTCGACTCCGATGAACAGGTGCCAGTTAGTCCACCAACGCCACGACCCAATCCTCCAGCTGCCGATCCTCCAAGATCGAAGATCAAGCTAAAGGTGTGGAAAGTGCCGCGTTTTCTCAAGCGTTTCGAGGATTTGGCCAGCCGGAGTGGCAGCTGTGCATCCGCGGCTCAACAGGAAAGGGAAAAAGAGCGGGAGCGTGAGAGGGAGCGGGAGAGGGAGCGAGAGCGAGAGCGGGAGAAGGAGGAGCTGCATCAGCAGAATCAATTGAATCCCGAGGAGACGCTGGCCTTCATGGACAGCCAGCTGCAGAATGGCAACGGTTGTGGCTATCAGCAACTGCCCGTTTTGTTGGAGTCGCTCAGCGGCCATCGCACCCAGACACTGGACATACCGCCGGCTCGGCCGGTGCTCCATCATGCGGCCGCGTCCACGGCCCTGGCCAGCAGTGTGCTCCGGTCGCCGGAGGCGGGAGGCGGTTGCTGCTCCCCGGGGCAGTATTCCATGTACGACGACATCATCGATGTGCGTTCCTACATCAGTCAGTCGCGCAGCGATATCTCCCCTTTTGGTCGATCGGGCAGCTATAGATCGCAGTGTGGCAGGCAATCAACTGGCGGAGGTGCAGGAGGAGGAGGTGCAGGAGGAGGAGGAGCGGTAGGAGGAGCGTGTACCTCACAGGCAGCACCCACAGTGGAGCAATCGCCAGTGCCGCGGCCACGAGCCTCGACTTTGGCCACCGGTAGACCCACCACCACCACAGGCACAGCCACCACCACCGCCACAGCGAACACCCTGGAACCGGGGCCATCGTCGGCCAGTCCCTGTTGCCTGCCAGCTCCCTGCAATGCCGGCATTGGCATCTTTCCGCCCACGCACTCCCGCCAGTCGAGCATTTGCCCCTCGGCCACGTCACGCAAGGATTCGGGCATCAAGAGCAACTCGCGTCGCTCCTCGATCCAGCAGCAGATCTATGCGCTCAACCAGTCGGCCATCAGTCAGCATCGGGTGTCGGGCTACTTCACCAGCTCCACGTCGAGCATCTCGAATTTGGGCGAGGTGCAGGGCGTCTGTCTGGGTCTGGGTCTACCGCTGGCCGTTCAGCCACCGCCACCGCCGCTGCTGATGCCCGCCTGCTCGTCACAGTTGGCCGATCCGTTGGCCGCCTGCCTGCAGCAATTGCGCAAACAATCGGACCTCCAGCTGATCCGTTGCGTCCGGGACAATGCCCGGTCGCAGAGGAGCTACCTGGTGAAGCCACCGTTGCGCAGGTTCAGTTTGTACTTCAAGTCGCGCCAGCTGGAGCGCGACTTTCGATCGAAGGCGCATCGCTTTGGGGCCGAGAACGAGACGGAGGGACCGCCGACTTTGGCCACGCCGCGCTACAACACCTACATCGACATATTCGTTGGCATTGCCGTCTACCTGTGCATCTCCGTGTCGCTCTTCCTGATGACCCAGAACACGGTCACTCCGAGCTTTCGCCTGTGGGTGACCCTCTTCTCCTGCTTCACGGGCATCCAGGTGTTTGCTCTTTTCCTCTTCACCCGCCAGATGTGCCGACGGCAGAGTGGTGGCGGTGGCGTCGGTGGCGGTGGCAACGTTAGCCACCGCTTCAGATCCAAGTCGACGACCAGTGAGGATCTGGAGCGAAGCGGGGAGGAGCAGCAGCGGGGGCCACACTTTGAGTCCTGTGCCGATCGCATTTTCGAGGCCATCTCCAGCTGGTATCCATGGCACATCTGTCTGGCCATCCTGATGGCCATGCCCGTGCTGCTGATCATCGCCAACTTCCTGTTGCTCGATCTGGAGCAACTGGAGGCCTTCGAGTATCACTACGGCTTCCTGATCTTCGTGTGCATCGTGCACTTCTGCAATTTCACGCAGCTCAACTGCTGGGTGCGCAATGTGTTGGCCTTTCTGGCCGCCCTCTGTTTCATCGGCATTGCGGTGTCGCAGCTGATGGTCTACAGTCACAATCGTAGCGAGGATCAGGAACAGGATCAGGAGGACCAGGAGGATCAGGCATCGAACTTCATTCAGGAGATCAAGTGGTTCCAGGACTACCACGTGGAGATCTATCTGGACCTGTTGCTCATCCTGGTGCTGGTGTGGTTCCTCAATCGCGAATTCGAGATCGGCTACCGGCTGACCTTCTACGGCAATGCGGTGGCCAACCAGGACAAGGTGCGGGTGCAGAACATGAAGAACCAGGCGGACATGCTGCTGCACAACATCATACCCAAGCATGTGGCCGAGCATCTGAAGAACACGGCCAAGTACTCGGAGAACCATCACAACATAGCCATCATCTTTGCCTCGATCGTCAACTTCAACGAGATGTACGACGAGAGCTATCTCGGAGGCAAGGAGTTCCTGCGGGTGCTCAACGAGCTGATCGGCGACTTCGATGAGCTGCTGTCGCGACCGGAGTTTCGGGCGGTGGAGAAGATCAAGACGATTGGGTCCACGTTTATGGCGGCCAGTGGACTGGATCCGTCGCATCGCGGTTCCGGTGACGAGCATATTCACACGCTGATGGAGTTCTCGATTGCCATGCAGGATGTGGTGGATGCCTTCAACAAGGACCTACTGGAGTTCAATCTCATCCTGCGCATCGGCATGAACATTGGCGATGTAACGGCCGGTGTGATCGGCACCAGCAAACTGTACTACGACATCTGGGGCGATGCGGTCAATGTGGCCTCCCGCATGGACTCCACAGGTCTGCCCAATCGCATCCAGGTGGGTAAGGACTGCCTGCCCTTCCTCGCCAAGCGCTATGAGTTCGAGCCGCGCGGCAGTGTTTATGTGAAGGGCAAGGATCACATGGAGGTGTTTCTCTACACGGGTCGCAGGGAGAAGCCACTGGAGGAGGAAGAGGGGGCGGAGGAGCAGGAGAAGCAGGAGGAGGCGGTGGAGCAGCAATTGGACCTGCAGGATGTACATAAGCTGGAGCAGTTGGACCAGCACATTAAGCTGAACGACGAGGAGGAGGATGAGGATGACTTGCACTCCAGTGAGACCACCACGCTCTTTAAGTCGCAGGAGTCGCTCCAAGCGAATGGAGGTCAACACTTGGCAGCGGCTAATATCATTGCTACCACCATTACTCTTACAAACAGCAACAACATCAACATCAACAACAACAACACCACAACCAACAACTCAATGCCAGTGGAAACTTAGGAAATTGCTGAGAGAGGAAGGCACTTGAAAAATGGTTTCAAAATTGCATTTAATGGCTCCAACGGTGAGCGAGCGAGCTTTCCAACAACAAACATGGCTAGGAGGCGGAATTGTGGCCGGAAAAAGGAAACAAAACCAGAGGATACAAAAGAGTGGGAGGGGCGGGGCGGGGTGGGGGTGGGTTTGAAACAACCAACAAACCAATGTGATATAAATGAATATGAATAGATAGAAACGTTAGAAACGATAGAATCGGGTTAAAGTTGCTAGTGATTGGTTGATTGATTCATCAATTGATTAATTGATTCATTGATTAATTGATTGATTGTTGTTATGGCGTTTGGCTGGATTAAGTTGATAACACTTGCGATATCCAAATGAATATCCAAAACACTCGCACACGCATGCAAATTATTCAACATATTGATGTGTGTGTATGTATTTAATTGTACTAGCCAGTTGACTCATCTGAAAACCAAACGAAATGCTTTCTTTCCTTTCTATTTCTATTTTTGTTTTTTTTTTTTTAATAGCTCTAACTAAACTAAATTAAACTAATGGAAATATGTGGCTTTAAATGGTAGTAGCGAAATATAGATGTGGATTGTATGTAGATTCAATGTACCATAGAGCTAACCAATATATATATATATATATATATGTATAAGTAACTAAATAACAATTTTTTTGAGCCAACGAATGGATATTACCTGTATGTATTTGCTGTTGTTCAATGTTGATCAATATGTGTATATAAATGTATGTAGCTAAATGTAAATGATTGTGTCTCGCAGACAATGGTCTGCTGCCATATAAATGAGTTTGGTCTGCAGGGGGTTAATTTTATTTCCAAAAAACCAAAACGTTTTGAATAAAAACAGATTTGATCGAAATTGGCTTTCTAACCTAGTTTTAATTGTAAATCTTTATAAAATTGATAACAACAAAAGGTCTTGTCTAAAGATCTACATCGTTATTACATGCAGCTACGATTTACGAAATTTATACCCCAGCAAAGGACCGAAAAGTATGCACCAAAATGCTTGCCATACACACACACAAAGACACGCACTCACCCACCAAAAAAAGCTTTCACCATACTCACACAACTACACACAACACACACACACACACACACACTCTCAACCACCCACACCAACTCCGGCACACTGAGAAAACCATGTTGTAAGCCTTTTGTATGTTATACAAACATACTTTTTGTGCAATGAAACTTTGCTACTTACTAATGGTTAACTTAAGCAAAAAACTCTATTACCGCCACAAAAAGAAAAGATAAAACATAAAAATAAAACAATGTAAACGTGTATGTGTATCGAAACCTATGGACCCTATTGTATTTTTATATAAACAAATCAAGTATTTTCTACTAATTTATTGAACAAAACTAAAAACAAAGACGTACATTTTTTTCTTGTCTTTTTGAAATATCTTAATGTACATACTACATGATATATATATATATATACATACATATATATATTTATAATTGTATATTTTTATAAAATAAAAACGAAACAAAAGAAAAATGTGAAACACAAAGAGCGAATGATATTTATGAAGAGATCTAGATCCTGTTTACGATGTGTAGAAATGTTTAAATGTTGTTAATGCTGAGATACAGCCAGCCATAACCAATGTATGTGGATCGTGTCCTACGTGTGTTTAGCAAACGATTTCAAAGAGTTTATCGAAATGTTATAGGCAAACCTACTAGGCGAGATGTGTAGAAATAAACAAAATAAACAAAAGTCAGCAGTCTTATATTATATGTACTTAAAAGCGTTGTGTTGTCCCAATTTTATTGGCTGGATATGGGTAATTTAAGGACTTTAATGATTTAAAATATTTTCGAGTCCCTGTGGAACACAGATAAATAAAAACTTCGCATGCTAATTTTATTATTTAATTGTTTATTATTTGGCGGCTAGTCATTAGCAAGGCCGCTGTGAAGGCGTGTCACAGGCAGGCAAAGTTGGAAAAAACATTGTGCTTGAATCCAACTGCTGCTGTCGACATGTTCAAATTGCAGATTACATATTTACAAATTGCTAAACGTTACACATATATACACACAGTGACATTATACATTGTTTGGGGACCCGTTCAGGTATATATGTTTATATAGCGAGATATATATGTGGGACATACGTTTGGGAATACCAGCGCCGATTGCACGTTTACAAACTTCATAAAAATATGTTAAAATTAATCAAAAAATTAGACGCGACGACAGAACGAAAAATGTTTGGAAGTGAAGTATGTCATCCGTGACTTTTCTACAACAATCAGGAGTCGCTGAGAATGTCTTTCAATATCGAGCTGGAGTTGCGTGTGGGTGCGAACTCGTTGGAGCCCATGGCCAGGGACTGTGGTGATCCGCCGCCCACTGGCGGTGTTCCCGGAGCCACTGAATCCGGATTCCCCGCTGCTGGCACCGCCGGCGGTAGACGAGCTTGTGTCGGCAGGGGAAGCGTGGACGAGGAGGAGGAGGAGTTGGCAGCGGCGGAGGTGGAGATGGAGGAGCTGGCCACATCCATTTGAGCCGTCATGCTTAGCAGTGTGGGTCGCGATTGCACCTGCGCCTGTGGCTGCGATTCCTGCTCCAGAAACTGGACAAAGGCTTGCACCAGGTTGTCATTGCCACGCGAGGATCCTAGAAAAAGAATAAATTTAAAATACCTTTAAGGTAAAATACACTTAGATGGAGTCTCACCTGCTGCCGCCGTTGAGGTGGAACCGCCACCCAGGATGGCGCCCAACCAGCTGCCCGGCTGCTTGTTCAGGCCCACCTTGTCCGACTCCTGGGCATTGAAGTCCAGCACGGAGGAGATCATGCGCAGCACCTGCTGCTTGTCACCGGCATGGCCACTGACCACATAGCCGATTAGCAGGCTCTTGATCAGGCTCTTGTCAATCTTGTCCGTCTGGCTGCTCTCGCTGCTGCTGAGGCGCTGCTCCAGCTGGCCGTTCGCCTCCTTCAGGCTCTCCACTGGGCAATAAAGAGAAGCATACGGATACGAGGGATTAGTATCCAAACTGGATAAGTATTCAGACTGCCTGCTGGCAAGCTATTAATGTGGTTGTGTGGAGTCGGGGTTGCACATCCGTGTGGGAGAAGCGCGCGCGTGGATATATTTTAGTTTCTATTTTGTATTTTGCATGCGGTTAGTGCGATCGGTGCACGGCGTAGTATGACATAAGTACTGGTTGTTGGATTTAGGGCACACCAGTACCTGATGTAATACTCAACCGTACAGACGCTGCTCCTTGGGCTGTTCCTTCTCACGTCGCGAGGGATCCCTACTCGTTGGATAGCTCTGCTCCCAGTGGCTGCACTAGACTGGACTGCTCTGGACTGGTCTGCTCTGGTCAGTAGTTTTATTCTGCTATCAGCTTTGTGATTGATCAGTTGGGACAAATCTCTCAAATGTACAATTGCAAATGCAAATGCAAAGATCAAAAATCAAAATAACAAACTCAAAAGGAAACAAAAAAAAAAAAATAAAGGGGGAAACGAGAACACGACAACGGAAACAGGATCAGAATCAGAAACAGAAACAGATCGGATTTAGATACAGAACGAGATTCGAATACGGAACTCAGCTAGCGGGCAACAACAGAGAGCAACAGGATAGGTAGACAGCATATCCATACGATATTTAGATATTTAAAGGCATAAAGGGGGATAGATACATACAGATATATATGCATAATGTAGACATGCAGAGTAGGTATAGGCAGATATATAGGCTATATATAGGGTGTATACATAATAATGTGGCATATGCCGCAGTCTCGAGCAATCTCCAATTGCAAAGTGAGTGCGTCGAATGGCTTAAACCGCTCACATTTACAAATTGAGATTATTCAATGCTGCAGATACAATTGGTATTGTTTTTTTTTTTTTTTTTTTTTTTCGTTTTTTGTTTTTGGTACGGATTACGGGTTACGAATTACGGATAACGGATGGTACGGTTTACGGTTTATACGGTTTATAGAGGTTCTCGTGTCTGGGTGTCGTGTGTTTGAACGCTCATTTTATATAGCTTGTACATAAGGATAATCAAATCAAATCAAATCAAATAAAATCAAACAAAATCATAAATGCAACGAATTACAATAATAGTTAAGCAACAACATATACTTGATTAAATAAAAGGACAATAAAGGAATGGCAACAGGGGGTTAAAGCTTTAGATACTCTACTTGGCTTTATTGTGTGGGCTTACACAAAATACAGAATCAGAAAAATACAAAAATCTATTACTATTAATATATTTTAAATTGTTTTCATCAATTTTGGTTTATATTTTAATTTTAAAAATCGTCAAATAAATGATATTGTTTTTGTAAATGGCAATATAAAAATTTCAAAATTCAACAAGAATTGTATTTTTCTGACATGGTTTTGATTGTCTACGTATTTCGCACAACAACTAAATTACACGAACATCTAAAGCTACTTAAGGTTACACAGAATAGTTTCTAATTAAATCACAACATTTAAGGCGCCTAGTTTTGATCGGTTTTTTTTTGTGGTTAGACTTGCAGTGTTTGTCTGTTGTTGTTTTGTGTGTGTGTGTCGGGTGGTGTAACATTGTGGGTTAATAAAAATGACTACTTTTTGGGGTGTTGGAAGGGAGTTGGTTCTCAAGCTGTTTTCAACGGACACACAAGCGGACAAATTAGTCGTTTACCTGTTGTGAGGTGGTGAGCAGTTAACAGCCAATACAGTATTTTTTTTTTTTTTTTTTTGCCACGTGCCGTAGGTGCAATCAAACGAGTATTTTCATTGGTTTTTCTTTCGTTTCTTGTGGTACATTTTATGTGTGTGCGGTTTTTCGTTTGTCGCTTTTTTTTTTTTTTTTTTTTTGCAAATTTTTGTTGAATTGTTCTGAAGTTTTGGTTGGTGTTTGGTTTCAGTTTTTGCGCTTTTGGTGATAAAATGCAATTCAAAAAAGTCGATACCAACTGAAATTCCGAGTGTTTCATATTTAGACTTAGCTCCCAGAATTACCAGCTGATATTTACCTTTGAGAATCGTGTGATGTGACACTTTTCTCCCTCTCTTAATCCTATTACTTTCCCTCCAGCACTCATTCTTATCTATTTTTTTTCACTGGCATACTTTCTCACTCACTCTCAGACCAAAAAGATTAAGTATAATATTTTCTAAACATTTCTTTCTTTTTTTGTTTTTTTTTTTTGCGTTTTTTGCGTGGGACTTTTGAATGCGTGATTGAGTGGGGAGTGTATATAGTTTTAATTTGGGCATATTGAAGGTGCAACACCGTGGGTGGGTTAAGAACATGCCGGGAATGCCGGGGGTTAGTCATCAAATTCAAGGGGCATACACACAGTGCGGCTTGTGCCAGTGACCCGCTGACTCACCTTCATCCCGGAGCACGGCGATCGTCTGCTGGCCGGCCTCCAGTTGATCGGAGAGCCGGGCAGCAGCCCTCAGTCCCTGGTTGGCCTCCGCCAGCTGCTGCTGCAGACCAGCCATCTCCAGCTGGAGTTGGCCCTGCCTGTCCAGCTGGGCCTGCATCTCGCGCCGGATGCGCTGCGTGGCCATCTCGATGTCGTGGTCTTTGTCTGAAGTGGTTAAGATTTCTCAATTGGTTTCTATGGCTCTTAGGCTTTTGGGTTTTTGGCTTTTAATAGGAAACGAAGCAATTACCATTCTGGAACTGCTCCAGCGCACACTGGAGATTGGTGAGCGCCGCCTGTTGCTTCAGCTCACGATCCTCGCACTGGCCCAGTTTGGCCAGCAGCTCATCCCGCTGCTGTTGGAGCAGAGCGTGCTGCGCCTGCAGCGTTTCCGCCTGCTGATTCGCCCGGATACTAAGGGCACAAATTGGAAACAGAACATATTAAATTCGGCTTATTGAAGATCTTAGATCGAAGCATACAACTATTTCGTTTTGTCTCTTTTAGTTACTAAAAGCAATAAAATGATTAAGTTATTATCCCCATGAGAAAGCTTAACTTTAATGGAAATCTATATTTTTATATGCACTTATTTTACTGTTTGAAAATAATTAAGCACTCACAAAAGCCATCAAATAAATACAAAATTAATGGTTCGTTTTAAGAGCCATAATTTACTTGAAAATTTTCCCAAGCTCAATTCTATTACATTTTTGTAGGCCTTATTGTCTACAAACTATAGCAAGTTCTCATAATAGAACTGTTGTACCATTTTTGTTTAATAAGCTTTTAGCTTTCAATACTTGCTTTAATGCTCTAAATATGTTTTTTTTTTTTTTTATAATTAAAAGCTCCTTAAACTATTAATGTAATTTCTCAAAATACACATACTAAATTGATGAAATTAAGTAATTTAAACAACACTTTAAATAACTAGTTCACTTCTAAAACTCAAAACATTTTTCGAACTAAGTAAGAAATTTTTTTTATAGGCGATGGCTTTAAAAAAAAACCGAAAATTCCTTCCTTCTATTATGAAATGAATTGCTAAGCTAAGTCACTCTTCCATTGAATTAGTGATAATGTTAGAAAAAAATCTTCAAAAAAAAGTAAGCTATAAGAATTATTACTTCTACAGCATATGTGTAAGATATTTAAACACTGTACTTAAAACCTTGCCCGCTGTTATCTCAATCCCGGATGCACTGAATCGTGGAAGGACTCTTATATGAGGGCACCCAGTGACGATATCGATGCGACTGGAAATTGATTTTCCAGCTGGCAATAGCAGTCGATAGCTGTCGATAGCTGGCGATGGCGAAAGCTGCTGCCAGGCATGCGGAAATATGGGCGGCAATTTGCATGGTCCGATTTTGGAATCGTGTGGGAACATGTGGCGAATGCAATTAGCCAGCAACGATCGCTTATCGCCTGCATGACAAATGGGCGGCCAAGGTGACCCCTCCAACCAATCGAATGCCACGCCTGTGGAATAGTGAAATAGTGGAATAGTGGAGGAACTCACCTGGCCGAAGTGTAGGCCGTGCTGGATTTGGACGCCTGCTGCTCGAGGATCGCTTGACGGGATCGCGACTCCTCCAGTTCGCGCTGCAACTCCACGGACTCCTGGGTGTGCAGCTCCTCGACCTCGAGCAGATGGGCCCTCAGCCGCTCCAGGTCGCGCTGCACACTGGCCTGCTGCTCCTGGGCCTCGGCCTGCTGTTGCTGCAGCAGCCGCTGGTTGGTCTGCTCCGTCAGCAGGTTGGTGGTGAGTATGTCGGCCTTCTCCTTGAGGAAGCCGACCTGGTCCAGCAGCTTCTCGCGCTCCTTGGCCAGATCCTTGAGCTGCTGCTCGCAGGGCTGCAGGCGCTGGATCTCCGCATAGTACTGGGTGTTCTCCTGATGCTTCTGCTGTATGGCCTTGATCAGCTCGCCCTTCTCCACGCCCAGGGCCTCGATGGTCTGCTGCAGCTGCTGCAGACTCTGTTCGGCATCCTGGTGGCTCTGGAGTTGTGATTGCTTCACCCGAAGCTCCTCTTCGTTAGCCTTTAGCGTTTCTTGTAGCTTTGCCAGTTCGGCTTGCTGCTGCTCTATGGCCTGATTCTTGGCCAGCAGCTGATCCTGAAGATCCTGGATCTGCTTGGGATCGTCCAGGTCCATTGACTGCTCCCTGCTTTGCAGTTGCTCCTGCAGCCTTGTCCTCTCCTCGCTGACCTCTTGGCATTGCTGTTGCAGCTTCGATAGTTGCGCTTCCCGGTCGTTTAGCTGCTCCCGACACTCCTCCAGTTGAGTGGTGACCTCGGCCAGCTGCCTTTTGATGGCGCTCAGCTGCTGGTTCTGATCCACCTCCATCAGTTCCTTCTGCTGCTCCAACTTGTCCTGCAGCTGGAGCAGTTCGCGCAACTTCTCCTGGTCCGCTTGCAGCTGACCTTGGATTTTGGCCATCTGCACCTTGTGCTGCATGGCCTTCTCCTCCACTTCCTGCTTGGCGAGAGCCAGCTGCTCCTCCAGACTCCTCAGATCATGTTCCTTTTGGAGCAGCGTTTGGGCCAGTTGTTCCTGGTCCGTCTGGCTTTGCTGCTGCAGCTTAGCCAGTTGTTCTTCGTTTCTGGCCAGGAGTTTGGTTTTCTCCACCAGCTCTTTGTTGGCCGAGTTGAGCTGCTCCTGCAGCTGTTGTTGTTCCTGCACCTTCTGCTCCATTTTGGCCAGCAGATCGCTCTCCAGCGGACCCCTCTCCAGCTGGGACTTCAGCTTGGTCTCCAACTGCCGTTGGCTGGCAAGAGACACCTCCAGCCGCTGCCTGGCATCCTCCAACTGGGCCTCCAACTGGACGATCGTCTCCTCGTGGTGCTCCTCGATGGTCTCCAGTTTGTTGCGCTTGAACTTGTCCAGCTCGTTGAGCAGCAGCTCGTTGTTCTTCATCAGCTCATCGCACTGCAGGATGTACTGCGAGATGTCCGCCTCGAGCGTCTTCTTCTCGTGCTCGGTGAGCAGCTGCTGATTCTGCACATCCTCCAGTCGCTGCTCCACGAGATCCAGGCGATGCCACCGCTCCGTGATTGCGCTCCACGCACGCTCCAGTTTCTGCTGCGTATGGGAGATGGAGTTGGTGGAAGTGGAGGTGGTTGAGCTGCCCAGACGTTGCTCCACCTCGGCCTGCAGCAGAGCACGCAACTTGTCCAGCTCGTAGGTGGCTCCGTACTCCGTGTCCGTGTCGTCCAGATCGGTGATCTCTTGCTTCTCCTCGGCAATGGCCTGCCGGAACTTGGCCTGTGCTATGCTGGTGTCCAGTTCTTGGCGCAATCGCTGGTTCTCCTCCCTGAGGGCGCTCAGCTGCTCCTCGAGGTCGTGGGCATGGCCCTCCTGCTCCGCCTCGGCATGCAGTTTCAGCTCCTGGTTCTGCACAGTTAGCTGCTGCAGGCGCAGCTGCAAGTCCAGCTGCAGCTGCTCCTTCTCCGACTCGCTGAGCCGCAGACGCTTCTCCAGCTCGGCCAGCTGTTCGCCCAGCAGATTGATGCTTAATTGCTTCTCCAGCTGGGCATCCTGCATCTGTGTGTTGGCCAGTGTCAGTTCCGAGATCTGTGACTCCAGGGAGACGAGGCGATCGCGCAACTTCTCCTTGGACGGCGGTTCAGTGACCTCCGGATCGGCATCGGCATCGGCATCGGGATCGACATCGGCATCGGGATCGGAGGCGGAGCCAGAGCCAGAACCAGTGGCATCTGTCTGGCGCACCAGTATGAACTCATCCTCGCTGTGCTTGCCGGTGGAGGAACTGTTCGACGAGGACTCCGAGGTCTTCTTCTCCTTGGCCTGGCGCACTTCCTCCAGATCCTTGAGCAGCCTGTCGCGCTCCGTTTCGGCCAGTCGGACGCGCTCGATCAGCTCGGCGTTGTCGTGGCCCCGCTTGTCCAGCAGCTCCTGCATTTCGGCCAGCTCCATGACGCCGCGTTTCAGCTCGGCCGCCTGCTGGTCCACCCGCTGCTGCAGTTGCTCCTGCAGCTCCTTGGCCACGGCGGCCTTCTGTTGCAGCTCTTCCAGCTGCTTCTGCTGCCTGGCACTGGCCAGCTCGTGCTCCACCAGGCGGTCCGCCTGCAGCTGCTTGAGATTCGCCACCTGACCCGCCAGCTGCGTCTTGTGCCCCAGCACATCCTGCATGGCCAGCTCGTGCTGCGAGTCCAGCTCCTCCAGCGAGGCATTCAGCTGCGTGTTGAGCTGCTCCAGCTCGGCAATGCGACTGTTTAGCCGGGCCACGTCACTGGATCCCAGGGCGATGTCCACCAGGCCCGACGTTCCGCCGGCCGGTGATCCCTTCCCGTCGCCTCCATCTGGCTCCCAGCACCAGCTGTCCTCCACATTCTGTTCCTCGTTCTGCTGTTGCGGGTGGAAGGGAGAAAATAAATAGATCGGTCATAATTTTGGGGCTAAATCAAATGGTCACAGAAATGAGTTATCTGCATTTGTAATACTGGATTATATACACTGTTTTGGGAGAGAGAAAGTGATATCTTGGCAATATAAATTAAATAAAGTTTAATTTGTTTTTATCTGTATTAAAGTTTATTATTTATTTTTTAAGGTGGTACTCTGGTCTAGTAATTTGAAAACATTTATTTTTTTGTTTGCATATTCTGAAAGTTGTGACGTGCAGTCCGAGCCGATTGGTATTAGTATAAACTAATCTTAAAACAATAGTAAATGCTGATTGTTAGCATCTTATTTCCAATGAAATAAAATGGATGATTATTTTTTTTTATTTCTTTTTTATTCAAGCCCGACTTTATATGATTGATGATTAGATATTTAAACTGCTATTAATTTATATAACTGATATTATTTATCCTTAGAATATTTTGTACTACCTTAAATTTGGTATAAGGTTAAATATATGTATGTTTTTTTATTTATAAACATTGCCAAATGAAACGCAACTGTACTGTAAAGTGGGATTGGATTGGTTGGCTGTGGTAGGTGGTTTTCACACCCAGCTCATTATATCCTAGCCGCCAATCCAAATGTTGTTGTGGCACCTGCTGCGCAGGCGTCGCCCACTTGGCCACCCACCCACCTCCTCCTCCCACTTCTCCTTCTCCTTTTGCACCTTCTGGCCCACTGGCCAAACCAGGTCAATTGGCATTGCCAGACGCTAATGGCAGCTGGACGAGATGGAGGAGATTGAGGAGCAGCAATTTGAGCTGGAGGAGATGGAGAAGGAGGAGGAGGAGGAGGAGGAGGGGCCAGGTGACAGGTGCAAGAGGCAGAGGCAGTGGCAGAGTGGCAGCGCGTGAGACATGCGCGCGTTAATGAGTTTATGGATGAGTTGAGCAAAGATGGCCGCCTCTGCCGACGGCGACTGCGACGGTGACTGCGACGCCGACGACTATAGCGATAAGGTCCCAGCAAACGCAACAACGAAGTCCCCATAAAACCCATGACGAGAACGCTTAGCGAGCGCCAACAAAATGTTAGGGGCCGTAAAAAAAATGGGTTAAATAAAATTAACAACAACCAACGAACAACGAGCAACAACGAGCAAGGGGAAACAGGCCACGAAATAAATATTTGAAAAAAATGGCAAGTTAATTAAAATTAGCTCAAACGACGTGCATGTGTCTATGCACACAACTCCGTATTTATGAATATGAATCACAGAGCCTAACTTGCAGGGCATTTAAATAAATGAAATCGTTTGGCATAGAGTTTAAGCTTATTATAGCCAAAAAAGTGATAAACAACTGTTATATCTAGCACATTAAATACGTATTTATAATGTGGTTTCATTTAAATGAAACTAACATATTATTTTTAAGATTAAAACAAATAAAACTGTATAGTTTTATAGACGATTTTTATTGCTAAAATGCTTATCATCTGTATATTATGCGTAGGCAAAATGTTTTGAACGATTAAATAACACAAGGCGATAAATATTTGGATGATCCATGATAAGCCCGCCACAAATCCTGAGGGGAAACTAACAGAAATACCATTCCCACACTCGGATCTTAAAGCAGACAGACTCGTAAAAAACATATAGACATATATACATATATTTCTGTGTATATAACCGCTTCGTTTGTTTGTTCGGCCGGCATTCCGCCTTCCCGTTTCCAGTTCATGAGTGTGTAATTATACCCTCTCGGCCCGGTTAGGGTATCGAAAAGCAGAAAAGCTAAAAACCAGAAAACCAGAAAAGCAGAAAAGCCGAAAAGACACTTGTGCAAACTGGGTTATCAACATGAACAGAGAATGGAGACCCAAGACCCAAGACCGAAGACCGAAGACCAAAGACCGGAGAACGACTTTGCAACATGGCTGCCATGTAGTTTGGGTGTGAAAAACACTTGTGTTTCGTTAACAAATATTGGTCATATTATTCACGCTCCGGTCTGGGATCTTAGGGGCCACGATCTCGGCGATCTCGACGATCTACGGCGCAATCGATCAATTCAAACCGTGCCACATCGGATACGATACATTATCTTTGCGGCTATATGGGCAGGTCACACAAAGGCGACATACGACAGACGACATACGACATACGACATATGTACATATCGAAAGACATACGGCTGGGCATAGACAAACGCACTGGTTAACCATTAACGAGAGCCAACCCACCGAAAATTCCCGCTGCGATAAGATAAAATGGTAATGTTGTCACAGGGGTTAAGCAACAGGTTGTCGGGGGTTTTTGGGGGTTCCTTGGGTTTCATGGGTTTTTAGGGTGCGGAATGGTTCGGCTATGGCCGCCTAGCAACCGGAAGTTCACACTAAACTATTTCTCATGCTATTTGCACAAAATAACACATTTATGCGTCACCCTAGTTATTAAAAAAGTTCAGTCGAAACTTGATAACACAATTCCAAGTTTCTAAGCGATTTTACTTTGGTATATAACAAAATATAACATTTTGATTTCCTGATTTTTCAACATTCCCCAACGAAATGTGCAAACAAAGCTATTTGTTTGACACATCAGTTTTATCTGAATAGAAACATTAAAAACAAAAATTACAGAAAAAACTGAGATTTAATATTCATAGTTTTTAATTTCACGACATTTGGTTTGTCTAACTATAAAAATAGAAAATGAAATTGTACTTGATATGAAAAATAATCAAGACATTTCCAAGAAATCAGCCATAAAAAAAGCCTTTATAGTTTTTGAGCATAACTCAGACTTGGAGAAGCTGTACTGCTGACGAATGCTTACTTTCAATTGGCGAAAACGGAAAGTGTGCAACTATCGGGAAATATAAACAAAAGCGTGTGGAGCACTGCCCGATCAATATTAATTTGAATTGCTTTCGCTTTAGTCATGCCACCCCGTTGACGTCTTTTCCAAAAGCCCGGCGTTTCTTATCTTATCGCTGTCGGGCCACAAAGATATCCGCAGTTCCCCCTTTTTCTTTCTCCTGACAGTGGGATTTCGTATTTTGTTTATAAATAAACATTAACCGATTGCTGCGTGCTTTTCCTTCTTGGGGCTCGGTTCTTGGATTTAGTTGGTTGAATCATCCAATCCAATCCAATCCAATCCAATCCGATCCGATCAGATTTTTCCAACTGCAGATCTTTTCTAGGCTCTGGAATTGCGACCCGTGGGATTCGAAATTCGAATCGGAATAGGAATTGGAATTGGAATTAGAATTGGAACCGGAGCTTATCAGAATATGCTCCCCATTTGGCCGTTAGCTGGATTTATTTCTGGTGTTTGGTCTTGTTCATTCCGCAGCGAAATTCAAACACTGGCGATACCGGGAATTCTGTGTCAGCAAATCGGAGATTTGTGAGGGTCCGACAAGAATCACTGGGAAAAATGCACATCGTTATGTGCCCATAAACTCTATTTTTTAGGGATACTTAAAATTGGGGACATTTAAGTTGTCAAATAATCATATTGTTAAATTTTCTGTTTCTAATAAATAGAACCACCTTCATTTTTTGGAATATTAAACAATAAGGTTTTACACAATAAGCACAATTATAAAATGTTATTATATATAATAACAAATAGAAATAGAAAAAATAGTCATCTTTGTGATGCGTTAATATGCGAATTGGGGCCCAAGAATGCCCCATTTGAAATACTCTTTGTTGACTGATTGGAATATAATTGAAAATGACGAATTATTGAATGGTCGAAACATCGGTGATAAGCACTAACTCAATTAGGGTGGTGCGCCACCTCGATACTTAGCCCATGGAAAATTTTAAATCCTTATCTCAAGAACTCGGATCCCCATTCCGATTCCAAATCGGTTGTCTGCCGTCTTTTGGGCCAGACTCTAATGTATATTAGTCTGCATCGAAGATTGTAAAAAACGTGCTCTTCTCGCGATGACACAATCTCAAGTGGTTTCAAGAACACGCTATATACGTAAATTTATGGCGTTTTTAACTTATAACATTTAGAAGACCAACTATAATTTAGCAATCTTTCAACGAGGTAATTAAAATATGATTGAAGTTTAAGATGTATTTCTGCCAAGCAACATTGGCTTGCCTTTTAGGAAAGTTGTAGATTTTCCGATGGAAATGGACGAGATAAATTTAAAATTTTTCTAAATAAAATGATCCAATGTTTTTTAATATTTTATTTTTTAACTGGAAAATAAAACACAATTTTTCTAATCCCCAATAAAACAGAAATTGCGGATATTAAATAAAAATTTTAATAGGTACTATAACGTACTCCACACCACTTTAGAATACACACATTTTCGCCAGTTTTTTTTTTTGCAATTCGAGAGCAACAAATGGGTATGTAATAAAAATAATAATTTAGTGTATGCAGTGCAATAAAACAAAGAGGAAATTACATAGTTAATAAGAGGAGATGTCAAGACGCGACAAAAGTCGAAAGTCAAGGCGGGCTTAAACGGAAAAAAATGAGGCAAAAAGTGAGGAATAACTCAAGTTTAAGCCAAGTCACTCTCCAGTAGTGCCGTCTCTTTCTTTCGGCCCCTTGCACTTCGTCCCTTCCCCTTACACTTCGCCCCTCCCCTTGACCCCCAGTTAATGGGCATTATTATTAACTACAGGCAACAATTACATTTAGCAACAACTTACAGTTTTTACTCGTCAGCTGAGCGGCGGCGATTTTCCATTTCGATTTGGCAGCTAGGCAGAATTTATGCCTCGTTTTTTTTTTTTTTTTTTTTTTTTTTCGCCCGCTTTTTGGGTAATTCAGTTTTTTGTTTAATCAGTTATTCAGTAATTCCCGTTGTTCACAAGCGAAAACAAATAAAAAAAAGTTGTTAAAAAAATACATATTCGTACATAGTTTAATTTTTCACTTCATTACACGGCGCGATTTTTAAGCAATGAAAGCAAAAGTGTAGACCGAAAAAAAAAATATTTTAACGTTA